AGCGTCGCTACCATATTGGGCATTCTAATCATTGCTTCCGCCCCGGGTTGAACCGGTGGCGTTATACAGCGTAGCAGAGGCTATTACCCCTCGACCACGCTGCGGTGATGTCAAGGTGGCTCGGGTCGTATATGAACGGCTGGGTAACTAAGACTGAGCTAATGTGCTCTGGGTGTCTGAGGGTACAGGATGCACCCTCGAGGCGCATCTATTTGGCCTTAACGAATTTGTATTGATAACAAACTTTGTCCTGCCTAAGAAAATTAAAATCGTTTTTTCTCAACAACAACACAACCTAATTTACTTTGCGGGCCATACTTTGCTAATTCTCTACAGACACCCTAGCTAGATTCAAGGTTGATTAATTTATACTGAAGAGATAGGTTTGGCGTTCTTCCGGCCCCGTTCTCATTTCCGCCACCATACTAGCCGCACTTCTCTTACAAGGTTGATGAACACGGCAAAATTCAAAAGAAACTGGTTTAGTGGAACACGCGGCTGATTACAGTACACTTGGAGGGAGAAAAATAGAGTGGCGATATATCGTTTTATATTCTTCTGGAAGGGGAGGGGGTGAATGAGTCAGTGGGCAGTTGGTTTTGAGTGCGGTAGTTGTTTTTTCTCCCGATCTCTCCCCCTTTCTTTCTCTGTTTTTTCTTCTGTTCTCTATTTTAGCTGGGATTATAAAGGATATGATGATATGTGTCATGCGGCTTGATACAAATGATCGAAGTGCTTTGCCTCTCGGGAGCATGGGGCCTGCATGCAACGATAGCGAATATTAAAACTTCTGCTGAGTGAATATCTGTATATCGATCAGTCTAAGCATCACCACCAACGGTCCGTCTTACTCCTCCCAACCAGTCAAATTTAAATTGCAAAGATAACCGCGTAAGAAGTTCGCACAATATAGTCGGAAGGCATGTACACTGAGTTAGTTCAATGGAAGGTGGCGGGCTGCTTGGTATGAACAAACCTTACCGCCACCGATACATTCTTGAGGCATGGCCGTGTGTTTGCATTTTCGGTTCTTGAAACACAATAATGACTTGGTATGGGACGCTGTGGCATGTTCTGTCACTCGTGGCTCGTGACTGTGGCTGATATGCATGAGATATCACTGCGACATAAGGTATCACTCGCAGTGATATCTCATGCAACTCTTTTTTTTTTATTTTTATTTTATTTTATTAATTACATGCAACCTTTCGCTTATGGTAATATCGCACTCCCCGGAATGTCCCGTCTTTCACCGCCTCGTACTATATCAAACAAACAAAATCTCCATCCCTTTCTAACCCCCCGTACCCTCTGTTTGCTTCATTTTCCTCCTCTTCTTGTTCCTCATATCTCATGTAACTCTGTACGGTGATTGGTTGATTGGTTGATTGGTTGGTTGATCGCCCTTCTCTACAGCCGCAAGGCGAGAAGACAAATGATCTTTTTGTAATTCCTTACGCCCCTATTTAATATGAGCTTGTGGTTTGAAAATTTGGTTATTCTAGTCAATTTATGTGGTTTCGGCATGAGCGTCCGGATAATTTTGATAATCCATAATATCTACATCTACCTCGGGGAAGGAAGGATAAAGCAATTCATTGAAAAAACTCGCTGTTTCAAGGTTGGCCTTACTAATATGTATTTATCCAGTTAAAGAAAGAAAAGAAAATCCGGCAGCAAAAAGTGCAGCAAGTTAGGCCGGGATGGTTGTGACCACCCCGTACGTTAACCGCCCGCCCCGGGAATCAAACTCAGGCCGTTGGCACAGTGACGATAATTTAGAGGTTACAGAGTACTTCTCCAATTAAGCCGTTTCAAACACCTGCTGTACCGTGTTGGAACTCAATGGTACGTAGATCTAACCTTCAAGCTTGGCATCCTTATCTAATCTCGATCTATGATAAAGTATTCCTTAGCGATCTCTGCTCTTTCTCCTTCATCACACAGGCAGTGTCTTCCACATCTTGCTTACCAAGTGGATTAATTACATAAAACAATGTCATCTTTCGATCGAACACAACAAAAAACGAGGGCCGTTGCGACGCTGACCTGAGAAGACCCCCTCCTGAACTTTGAGACAGAGGAGAAACCCCAACCTAGACTAACTAGGTATTATGAGATCCTCATCAACGTCCTCTTCTCTCCTTCCATTTTCCATGACTGGCACTTTTCTCAGGGCGGAGCATTCCAACGGCAGAACACGCCTATCTTCCGTCTTCTCCCTTCCTACTTCAAAAGCCATCACATCATGACAAATATCTCGCTTTTCAGTTTTTGTTTCCATCGAAGTAAGATCTTGAACCCTTCTCCGCCATTTCAATCTGCTCCACCAAAGCACCTCCGTCCCCTGCTATAAGCTCTGCATTTATCTAAAGTACATAAAGATAGGTCTTCCTCCATTCTCTGGGTGGTCAGTCGATTTTCCCATCCTCTCCAGAAGAGACATATTCAGGTCTAGGAAGAAACGAAGGGTAAATCTCATGGAAGAAAGAGAAGGAGTCCTAGGCGCTCGAGGCGGAAACCATTCATTGGATTTCGCGCTTAAACAAGGCTTCATTATTATCTGAGGGGGTGGGGTACGGTGGGCTTAGGCGCCTCCACATATCTTCGGGATACGATCCTAGCGCTCAGACAGAGCATGTACATATTTGTACCTATTATACGAGGCTAACTATAGGTTGAGAGGCATTATGTGTTAAAACATGAAAGGTAAAGGTTATTTCAATAAAACGTCCTTTGAACTTCTTCCGGACGATGGAATGTTGAGCCCTCAATACAATATCCCTCTCATTAAAGATAAGGCAGAGACCTTTTGGGTCGGATAATGAAAGCGCATAGTGAATCGAGAGAATAGTTTTAAATCTCCCGCGAGCGGGGGCTTAAAGCATGCCCGGATGATACTTTTGTCCATCGAGATTACGAATGGGTTTTTAGGAGTCGCAAGAACTCAACGGATTGAGTTGAGCTCGGGCTCAGCCGTTTATCTCCAGCCTAATATTGAACATAAAGACAGCTCGCAGCACTAACCACAGAAGAGTTCAGCAAGCCTTCTCAGCAGTATACCCCTTGCGGTAAGGTTCTGCGTTCTCTCCAGACTGAAGTAAGTTCTTGGTATTCCCGGAACATAAAAATTGATGAAACAAAAAAAAATACAGACCTGCGTTGGCAATAGGAATAAAGTATGCTATTGCCAATGGAGAATCTATTTAAGATAGGCTTACAAATAAATTCTACATTGAGGAATGTTTATGAGGAGGAGACAACAAGCTGCTTGAAAGTCGAGCTTTCCGCCCTTCCACTCTTCCTAGAGTTGAAGGTTCGCCTTCCGACGGAAGTCGAAAAACCATTATTTACAAATACGTTTTAGGATCGCCTCCTCCGTCCGGCGACTATGACATCTTCAGCCACGTGCATTCCTTTACCCTTAAGAACGAAACGAAACTCTGGAAATGATTAACGGGCATCACCCAGCTCTCAAAGCTATGATCGTTATTTAGAGCGAGAATCGCAACCGCACAGTCTAGTCCATCTCCAAGAATTCTCCCCCCTTCCACACCACAGTGAACAGACCTTTCAATGCCCACTTGATTCTTTTTGACTATACCCAATGTAACAGTAACCCGTTAATTGATGATACCCCATACTCCATACCCCATTGATACCCTATATCCCGTTCGTGACACTACTCAATACATCATCGATGGGACCTAGGTGTTTCCGTCAATATGAAATCTTTTCCTGGGCCCATCTACACCATTTCACTAAATAGAACTAATCTCGTTGAACCTGTTGGCTATATTTACACATTATTGCACCCAATCTGTAGTGTTGCCGGTCTTATCTTTTTTCTTTTGTCGCGGATAGCTGGTGGCTAGGGCTCGGACATTGTATATGTGGTTTGGACTCGAGTCCTCTGACTAGTGGAAAATTGAGTCTTTTATTTATATTTATATTGACTATAAGGGCCGTGAGGCTATTCTGCCCTCCCTCCACATTTTACTACATATGTCCCTAGAAATTTCGAGGGCCGGGGCTGTTATAAGGAACCTATTACTTTTAAAGATAATCGTGCCTAGGTTTAAATGATACGAGTGCGATGGACTGGATATTACCAAGAAATACAGCTCACCGAGACCCCTGGAGTAGGCTGCTGAAGTTACAGCTCCTTCACAAGTGCCTTCCGCACACAAAAGTTCGTGAAGAAACTAATTTATCGACGAACCAACGCTCGTTCATACCGGAGTGTTCGTGGAGGGCAAAACTCTTCGTGAAGAGCGGAGGAATGCGAGAGGCGTAGATCCATGACTTCAGGAACCAAACGCAGAGTCAGAGCGAACAGACCGGACGGATAAGAAGTTCAACGCGCTGAATGTCACTACTGGAAAGAGCAGCTGGGGACAAGAAGCAATGGTGTGCTTCAGCGTTGTGGTGGTGTCTGTGAGTAGTCTACACATTCACCATCCACACCGTAACTGCGAGCCTTCCCTACGAAGTAACACATGGGCCGGGTACTCTTCACCAATTCGAAGCAGAATGACTCCATTCATTCTTTGGTGGTGTTTAGACTTGATTAGTCAGACTGCGAGTGAGCTTTTGTGATTGCGGGAGAGTGCGTCATGGATTATCGCTCGCTATCTGGTGGCTTGGCGGTCAACATCCGCCAACACTCTTCCGCCTCTAAAGGAACGCCTCGTACGTGCACAATTTCCGTTAGAAAAAAAAGAAAAAATAGTACTAGGCACAGCAGTGAGATGACGACATTAAGAGCGTGAATATAAGCGAGATAACTGGAAAACATTGCTCGGTGGAGTAGTTTATCTAAGTATTTTCTTCTTTCTCGTGAGCTGAGGTCTTAAGCTACTTGTACGGCCTTGGGCAGTTCTGGCGGTGACAAATTGAAGCAGAGTCACGGAGAGAAGTGCTTTGTTTATGCCATTGGGAAACGATATCTAGTATAAGATGGCCTAAGATTCGAATTTCTGAAAACCAAAAAAGAGGGGGGGTTCCAAAGGGACTTGAACCCTCGACCACCCGGTTTTGGTAATGGGCGCACGGCCAACTGTGCTACGGAACCTGGTTATCAATGCTATCTGACCCGTTTATAAAGTGGCTCGAGCTACCACCTAAGGTTGTTTCGGGAGCGAGCGACAGATGGCGCTTACGACAGCCTCCAGCATCGCAAAGCGGGAGTCATATTTAGTATCTTTGGAAAACGCTTTCTAGTATGTAGTGGGGACCTTGTAAAATGGCTTCGGGTTCTGGCTTCTGAAAAAATAAAAAGAGGGGGGATTCCAAAGGGACTTGAACCCTCGACCACCCGGTTTTGGTAATGGGCGCACGGCCAACTGTGCTACGGAACCTGGTTGTGGATCCTATTTGACCCGTTTATGAAGGGGCTCAGGTCCTCCGGCTCTATCATTATTGGCATGGGAGGACACGTGATGACCTTGCATGTGACAGTCGCCCCAACACATTGTACATGCGTTTGGACATGCCTTGCAGTCCGTAATATGGAAGAGGCATCACAATTTAGTCTGCCATAGGCGGATAGAAATGTCGCCTACATCTTGAGACCAAGCCAAGGTCATGGCCTTGCTCAATCAGTTCCTTGGCCGTACATTCCCTTTCTCACCCTCCTGCTGCGGACACAATGAGCGGAATACTTTAGATGAATGTCCTTGGTAAGTTCCAGCAAAAAATGCTATCTCTTTCGTCCAACATCTCTTCTGGCCCCCCATCTCTTCTGGCCCTCCGATAATCATAAAGTTATGAAGATCCAGACCTATGGTTTTCGGCATGCGTCTTTCGGTAACCCAAAGGGTAGGACACCAGCTCCCCCAGAGTCTACAAAGACAGGTGCTGGTGGAAGAGGGGCTTTCATGCCTTCGGGAGTTGCTTCTATGGCGAGACTCTCGGTAATCTTCGCTCTGTTTGAACAGTCTCCGCCGGGCTGGGCGGAAGTACTGCACTCTGTCTTTCTGAACATCCACTTGGGCCTCATCCTCACTCTCGCACCCTCGGTCACCAACTATATCAACGCCATAATCTTAACCTCGGATCGAACCGCCGACAAGAAAATCAAAGCGAACTCTAAATTGGACTAGATACACAGAGCGCGGGAAACAGGTGGAGGATATGAGAAAACCCCAGCTCGTCAAAAGAAGGAAAATCGTCGGGAAAAACATTCTTGCAGGTTCTGGTACAAACTCATACCTTATAGGAACAAGATGCCTATGAAGAGAAGGTCAACCGTGACTGGACAACGAAAAATCTCTTGGGGTTTCTCTCATTGTTCGGCTTTAAAGGTTTCTTCGATAAAGAAGCAAGGCACTCAGTTAGACTGGCCGCGATGTTCCAAGCAGGGCGTAGTGACTGTGTATGTAGCTCTGGAGTCTACGAGGGTGGCGGCGGTGGGCAAATCTATGAATGTAAATCTCATGGCCCTAAGGAAATATTTCTTTAATAATTCTCTCTCAGTTTATTCCGCACCCTCGGTAGGACGGACGATCTTCTAGTAGACTAAAACTAAGACTTCTGCTTTCTTTAACGGTGGTTGAAGAGCAGGGGAGTTGGAGTGACTGGCCCACACTTCCTGTTTTAATGGCAGCTCAAGCGGAGGTCATACCTAGTGATAATTCTGTCTCGGTGGACTTTAGTACTGGCGACTCTTGTTTCTATCCTCTCACGCGAATAGGTACTCGTCTTTACAACTATCTGTCATTATGGAACACCACTCTTTACACTCTTTAAGTGTCGACAGAAGATACTAAGATATCTGGAGAAGAAAGCAGCGGGTAGAGAGCTGGTCTGGTGGGGCGGGGGGAGCAAGTCATCCCTCCTAGGGGCTAAGGGTGGGTAAGGTTTTGGTAACCTCGCGCTGAGCATCGCCCACAAGCGACGGGGATGGTTATAAAAATGTCAAGTAGCACCTGTAATATACCTTAAGGACTATTTTCAGCTTTCTGTTATCATTGTGGCCTAAACAGCGAGAGGGCCCAGGGTAAGCGGCCGCAAACCAAACACCTAATCTTATTTCAATACCACCGCTATAACTTTATAGATTTCTAGCAGTTATGGTATTACGAGAGGTATTGGCAATAATTAATGAGTTAAACAAAAAGGAAAAGAAAAAAAAAGAGAGGTATTGGCAGGTTTAGATTCTTCTTTCCTGCCCTGAATATCAATGTCTTTTTTCACTTGAAGTCAACTTCTCTAGAATTATATGTAGAGTAGACGCACTCACGGAGGTGTGGCGACCACAGGGGTATGGGGATTTATGGTTTGTTTCTTCCCACAGGACAGCTAAATTGATAAAAACAAGTGAATCGAAATAGCACATGAAATTTGAGTAGTTCATGGTCTTGAATTCTGAGTTCATGCAAATCGATTTTGGTACTCACCATGTTGAGATAGGGAAATCCACACACCCCCGTGGTCGTCACACCCCCGTGAGTGCGTCTACATAGGTTGATGTCTATAACGGGTTGATGCCAAGAACTGTTACAATCAAGATAAGATAAACGAGAATACCCCTAACGGTTTATGGCCTGTCTCGTGCCTAGCCTGCTTCTGATTGGCCAGTGAGTGCATGGAGGTAAAATTATTTTGGCTGGGCATGAGACAGTTCACAAGCGTCATGCCTGATGTTAGAGAATTTTAGCTTCGCCTCACCGTCGCTGAAGGGTCGGCCTTAGATACATGTAGGCTGCAATCGCTAAATTGTGGGCGGCGACTGTCCCTAGATACATCTACGGTGTACCGGCCATTGGAATTGCGCGTAATTGGTCTACTAGCCCGAGGCACCAGAGGTAACTGCATGTACATGAACAGTTCTCCAGGCCCTTCGACAAGCGTGTCGTGTTTTCTCTACGTGACGCGTCCTCAACCGTCTCTACACGTACACAGCTACTACCCGCCTCTGAAAGTGAACAAGCATTAAAGCAAGCTAACCTGCATTGGGGGAGCGGAGGAGACGTTTGCCCTCTATATGTTACCCTGTTCTATGGACGCTAGCATACTACAATTCTCTGGCCGGCGGTGACGAGGGCCTCTGCCGCTATGCCCGTATGCAGGGTGGCGGTTATGGAGCAAAGGCTTTTGTGAGTTCGCTGATAATGCCCGAGTTTTGTTGGTGAGGGACTATAACATGTCAGGAACAGAAACTTTCGGAAAAGATTGGACTTGGGAAAATTTATTTGCCCATTTCGTCGCAGCGAAAGTTCCAGCGCAAAATATATGGTAATAGGGTGATAGACTGGGCAATCTGACACTCAAAGTTTCTTTTATTTGTTTAGCTACAGGAATGTAGATAATATCCAAGCCTAATAGACGCCATGATAGCTTCTCTGTCTTCTGAAAAATAGGTATGATATGACAAAAAAATGTACGATGAACTATACAAGTTCGAAATGCGTAAAGGCTGAGTAATTGATCAAAACGGTCGCTGAGAGCATATAAACAGTCACAAGTTAAAAAGGGTGGGGGTGTTGTAGAGCTCGGCGGCCACAGATGTGTGGGCCAAGTACCAACCCGCACCAGCCCCGCAGGCCCTATTACGTATCTCCCACCTCTTTCTCTCTTCACTTCTTTCTCTCTCCACCTCATCACCCCTCCACCTCAACTCCATCTCACCAGCTCCACACTTCTCCATCTCCCCATCATCGCGGGTCAACGTTGATCCTCGAGCTTGAACACAAAGCTATCTGGTAACTGAGCGACAACAAGGTATTTCAAATATTTTCTGCTTACCAACTTTTTTTCTTGCTTTGTTCTCACTTTGGGCGCGTTTGGTATTTGCTAACCCTGTGACCCGTTTCAGCCTTTCATCCACAATGCGTGAGAATATGCGTTCCTCTCGCCCTATTGCTGCTGCTGAGCACCAGCACTTCGATGACCAGATGGACATCGACGGCGCAGCTCATCTCAGCGATCAAGTTGTCATCTCTGAGCTATCCGTCAAGCACGTCGTTGCCAGGCGCATTGATGACGATACTATGGCCGCGAATATCATGACACATAATCAGTTTCCACCACCTGCCTCTGCTATTCCTGCGAGGATGCTTGTTCGTTCCTCCGAAAAACCGTCGTGTTTGGAATATCTACTTAGGCAAGCAGACGAAGAGCCCGCCACACCCTTCCCAGCGGTCAATCCTATTTCACGTCGTGACGATCCTGACGGCTCCCCGCTCCCCGCCAGCTTTCGCGCTAGCCGTTCCGGAGGCCCGCGTCTCCAGCTGGGTGCGGAAACAACTACTCCAACCCGGGGAACTACACACGAAAATAGCTCGTCGCCAGTTGTGGTTCAGGGTAGTACTACGCCTGCCGATGGAGAACCACACACCCCTGGCCTTCCGAAGAAAAACGTCGCAGCTTTTAACGCGACCAAGAAGGCAGGCGGTGAGAGATCAGCGGAACTCGTACGTCGCACCAATGGAAGGTTCACAACTGAGCAGATCAAGTGGCTTGAGGACGGATACCGTCAGCGTATGGAAATCGGCAATCTTACTAAACTGTTCAACGACCGTCATCTCGACGATCGTACCACTCAAGAGATCAGCGACACTTTATACATTATCGTTGAATTCAACCGTGATGTCGACAAGGCCGGGCATACCAACGCTTGATGTATCTGGTTGATGTGAAGTTGTTAGTCCTGTTTTGTCTAGTTCAAATTGTTTGGCTTGATGCTCTGAAGGAAATTGAGATAGGCCGCGGTCTAGTTGGAAGCCTAGTGTTGAAGTGCCATACGTTGTGTAGAAGGTTCAAACTGATGTCGTTGCTAAGATACCTTTTAGAGTAAACAAATGAAATTTCTTTCTTAAACCTCATTAGTTCCCCCTTTACTGCTGGCCAAAATCATGTGATCGTCTTTGCATTTATCCGAGTTTTGTCTGTGATTTCCTTCCTCGGTCACTTTTCTTCGGTGACTTCGTAAACAGTAAATTGTGAAGATATCTCTGTAGCTCGGTTTCATTCTGCCCCATCATGAGAACTGCTTAATCTGGTATTCTTGTGTTAGTATAAACCTTTCAGGCTGGTCTTGTTGTGATAGGTGATCTCCTTGGGATACTAGAC